TGGTGTGGATAAACAGAAGAATCCTCATTTGATAAAGCAACTGGCCATGGCAGTGGAGTTCTGCCCCCTCTGCCCCCTTTACCATAAAGGGGCAGGAAACAGACTGGAAGAAGTCAGTTTGTTTGTTTGTTTTTTCATCTGCCTAAACCTCTTTAAGGCTGAGCGTAAAGTTAAACGGGCCTGACGCACACCCTAAATTCCAGCTCAGCCTGAGTAAATCGGTAAGATCCCGCCTCAAAATACAAAATAAAAAAAGAGCTGAGGGTGGAACTCTGAGGAAAGGCCGAGTTCAATTCCCAGTACATTGAATACATAAATACGACCGAATGCTTGGGGAACCGTGTGTTGTTTGTGTACAATCCCATAAATATGTAAGAGTAGATGACATAATAAACTAGGATATTTTAATTATTCATTTTTTAGACCATTGGTTCTTTTGTCACTGCGATGACGGCGTTCAACAGTCACAGCCAGGGGCAAGTCTAGGAGGGGAGGGTGCAGAAACGCTCTCGGCCCCGCCCGGCCGCACAGAACAGCGCAGAGCTTAAACCAGCGCCGCGCGGCCCTCGGCTTGGGGACCACGTGGACTCCACAGCGCCGCCCCGCCACAGGCCTGTAGCCCGGCCAACGCCTGCGACCTGGGCCACGCCTCCCGCTCGAGGAGCAACGCCACATCGCCCACACCGGAAATGGCTTCGTGTCCCGTAATGCGCAGGCGCAACAGACAGCGGGCGCCGCCAGAGGGCGCTGCGGCCGCCGTGGGGGAGGGGAGGGCTGTGCCGGTCGGACCACGTGCGCACCACGTGGCGCCCAGCAGTGCCGGGTCGCCGCACGCGCGTCCTGCTGGACACGCAGCACAGCCAGCATCTCGTGAGGGTGACAGAGCCAGTTCCCATACCAGCGCCCGCGTGCCACTGGCCCCTGACCTCTGACCCCGCAGCCTTTAGGGTTACCCTCGCCGGGCGCCGCGCAGTGTGTTTATAAACAGAGCTCCTGGTGGGGCCCAAACCCCGGATCGGTGGATTGCTACCTGGGAGAACGGAGCCCTAAGCGCATGCGCTCCGTGGACCGGCGTGTGCCTCCTCCTGCGCCTGCGCATTGCGGCGCGCTCCCGGAGGGGTGAGGCTGGCGCTGCGGTCCTTTGCCTTGTCCCTACCTTTCGGACTATCCCCACCAGGCTGTGCGAGGTTCTGACCCTCGGGTCCTCGCCTGGGAAACGGGGCTCACAAGGGTGCGTGTTGGCTGCCGACCACCGTGGAGCGGGGTCCGCCCAGCTCCCCTCGTGGGGCCACGTTGCCCGCAGGACCCTCGGTAGCGCCTTGACGTCACGGCAGGGCGATCGATGGACCGATTGTGGAGTTCACTACTGTTTTACCATAGAAAGGAGTACAGTGCATTTTACATTACGTCTGTTTTGGTTTAAGAAAAGAGGAACTTCTAGCCGGATGTGGCGGCGCTCGCCTGTAATACTAGTGCTTTGGGAAGCTGAAGGGTGAGGATCGGAAGTTCAAACCCAGCCTGGCCAATTTAGGGACCCTGTCTCTAAATAAACAAAGACTAGCTAGCTAGCTGGAGGCTTGCAGTGGCTTTAGGTTCGATCTCCCGTCCTGGGGCGCGGGGAGGAGGGAGAGGGGAGGAAGTTGTGATACTTGCCCCACTCAGTGACCTTTGAAGGCATTGTGCTGAGAGAAATCAACCTGTTACAGAAGGAGACAGGCTTGGTTCCACTAGTCCTACAGAGGGTGGGTGGGTGGGTGCTGTTGGCTGGGGACTCGGTATTTAATGGGGACAGGATTTCGGTTTGGGAAGATGAAAACATTCTGGAGGTGGATGGCAGTGTCAGAGCTTGACAATGTGGGTGTGCTTAATGCCACTGGACTGTCATGTAAAAATGGTTCAGATGGGAAATTCTTTGTTCTTTGTAATTCACCACAGCAATACATCAGAGCTTGTTACTGATTCATCACCCTGGGGAAAAAAGTACAACACACACACTGCTCCTGCCTTACATCCTGACACCCTCCAGTCTCAGCCAGACTAAATGCAGTTTCCACCAAGTGAGTTTCTTAACAGGGGCCGTCTGGCCTTAGGGCTCCTGCTGGTTTCTCTGCCACCGTCAGCTCCCTGACACCTTCCCAGGACCGCTCCCTCACATACATACATGTCCTTGCTTCTCACGTGCTAAATATTATCACAGGGGCAGGTGACCAAAACAGTAAGGACTTCTTGGACTTTATACTCGGGGAAGGGTCAGCATCAGTGAAGGCAAACAAAGCTATCAGGCAGTGAGCACTAGAAGGAAAATACAGAGATGTGATTCAGACCCTGGTGAATCTAATCTAAATCAGGTGATACTGGGGAACTCTCTTGGGGGCGACCCTTTGACCTATGATAAGGAGCCAAGGGATGACTGGAAATTCCACTGGGGAGGGAGAGGGAGTTTCCAGCGGGGAGAGAAAACAAGGGCTCATACCCTGAGGCCAAGAGCGTTTGGGGTGATTGAGGAACAGAAAGAAGACCAGGTGTTTGGGGCACGTGAGCAAGGGAAGGATTTGAGGTATAAAGACAAGAATAGGGGTGCCCATTCTATAACTGACACATCACCCCAGAATGTACTAGGTAAAACAGCTGCCATCTTAGTTGGTTTTGATTTTTTTGGGAGTCAATACACTCAGGAAAGAGGACTTCTAGTACTGTTTCAGAAAGTGGCAAAAGCAAGAGGATATGGTGTTTTAAACAAGGAGGAGGATGTAAACCACCAGGCTATCTCCTCAACCCTCACACCATGTTTCAAAAAGTGCTAAATGGCTCATGGTAATAGTCTCAAAGAGCACCAGGGTGAAACAAGGGAGTAGCCACTCTTACCTGCCTATTCTATTTCTGAATTTTAGTTTTTATGGTCAACTAAACAGAAACACTTATCATGGTACATTGTTTTATCATGGAAAATTGTTATGTTTTATTTTTATTATTTGTTGTTAATCTCTTACTGCATCTGTTCCATAAACTTTGTTATAGGTACACATATAAAGGAACATTAATAAGGGGTGCGGTAATGTGCAGGATATTAATCAATCCCTGGGAGTTCTTGAATTCCATCCCCATAGATAAGGGGACACAACTATAATTGCTTAGAAAATAGCTTGGAGAAGGCAGGATAAGAAAAGGGGCATTTTAATGGTGACAGTTGTTCAGGAAAACATCCGAGCTGCTTGTGAGTTTTGCCAGTAGGGATGGGCTGGAACAGGTGGATCTCACCCCAGGTGGGAATGAACAATGAAGACCCTTGGGAGATAGAGCTGCACAGAGGTCATGGTGGTCTTTTCTGATTGCTAGTATAGGTGTAGATCCCAGGATCCCCCAGGACAGTTCCCTGTCATTGAGTTGTGCAAGACTCATTCTCCTGACAGCTGAGCCTGTCCCCAGCAGAGTCCCTGACGTCCTTGCCCTGACTGCACCAGAAAGACCTTGTGAGTAATTTTTGGCCTCATATATAATAAAGGGATCTGGGCTGGCAGGCAGCTTTCTGCCCCACAGGAGTAACTAGGCCAGGGGGTGGCGAACCTATGGCAGATGTGTCACCATGGGCCCTCAGAGCCCTCCATGTTGGCACATAAGACGGATCACCCCAGCCAAGGTCTGACAGATTATCAGCATGCATACAGGAACAAAGCTCACAGCAAAGATCACATTAATTGTGCAAAAACATTCCAATTGCAAACTTCAACCTTTTAATAAGAAGCTGTGTGTATCACTGAAATCTCTGTTGCTGTGTTTTTCTTTTAAAACAAAAAAGGTTAATGTATGCTATGTGTTTTTCTCTAAAGCTTCTGAATTTAGGTTAATTGTAGTGTTGGCACTCTGATAAATAAGTGGGTTGGGGTTACAGTTTGGCACTTAGTCTCTCAAAGGTTTGCCATCACTGGATGAGGCCATGCCTGTCACTTGTCACACCAGTGAGCATTAAGAGGAAACATCTTAACTGAAGCCTCTGTTTTGGAAAATTTAGTTTTTTCTCCACATCAAAGTGCAGTAGGTTCAGAATTTCTAAAACTTAGTTTTGTTCTGCTTCCTCATGCCTGGTATCCCCCACTCAGTTTGGAAAAAAAAAAAAAACAAAACTATGTACTCTTTCAATATCAGTATAAATACTCCTGGGATGGTATTGTTTTTTTTTTTTTTCATTCTTTTTGGTTTGTTTTATTTTATTTTATTTTTTGCAGAACCAGGGATTGAACTCAGGCCCTTGTGCTTGCCAGACACTTATTCTACTGAGTTATCTCCCC